TCAAATAATGCCAGAGTGCGTCTCTCCTCTTGGGTTCGGCGTTCGTCCCACCGCCAAAGGAATAGACTCGACTCGGGCTTTGAACCCAAGATAACTTCACGAATTCGCTATCTACCAAGCAGACCAATTGATTCAAAAGGTTTCCTGATATTTACCTGCAGGAGGCAGGTTTCGCAGCATGGGTGGGCTGCGGTTGACGTATGTGATGTACAGAGTCTACATAAGGAAATAATAAGGCGGCCTGTTGAGAAAACGCGTATGACGGTCCGGATCCAAGGCCCCCGAGACCGATTCTCTTTGCTGTTTTCCCAGTACATTCAGCCCCGTAATCGGTCTAGAAGAATCTCGACCGAAGGGGAACTGTGCGACTGGATAACATGAACCTCTACCACGGGCATCGAGTATTCATGTCATTTGATTCCAAAATAAAAACACCCCCTTCCCCCCGATTTCTATAACCCGAAGCCACCATTTGCGCTCTTTTTCTTTAGATGCAGTTTGAATTAATAACCCGGGAAACAAATCTCTCGTCCTCCTCCACATCGTCGTTTCGAATCGGTACGAGATGGCGGGGAAGCAGATTTCAAAAGGTTCTTTCTCCGTTTAGTGGGCAGCGGCGTGGGTCTCGCCGTGGTAGCCGACGAGCTTGAAGCGACCGAGCATCTCGCCGACGGTGAAGAAACCGAGGCACTCAGCGGCGACAACGGCACCGGTGGCCACGGTCGCGGTGTTGATGCGGGAGGCGATGTTGGCGGGCTTCGCGGCGGCAGCAGTGTTGGCGGCGGAGCTGGCGGCCGAGGAGGCGGAGCTCAGGAGGGCGTTAGGGTTCTTGACGGCGCCGAGGGCGGTCTGGAAGTAGGACTGGAAGGTGCTGACGGGGCTGTATATCATTCATTAGAAGCTGGACGGGCTAGACTCTTCGTTCTAGTGCTGGAACTTACGGAGGAGCCATTTTCTGGCCGTGGAAGACAATTTTGGACAGCTCAAGAGTGACGCGGGAGTAGTAGATGACCCAGGGAACCTGCTCTATAGTCGCATATGCGTTAGCAATTGGCCCGCGAATTGGAGGGTGCGCGCTCAATTGCGGCCCTCCTGATGGAGTTTCCCTCGCGGCCGGATTTTCACGTACTCTCAATGAAGTTGATAACCTTGCCGGTGCGGCCGCCGACCTTGCCGAGGGCGTTGACGGCACCAGACAGAGCGGGACCAGCGGCGCTGGCGGCGCGGCTGAGGCCCTGGGCAGCCTTGGCCGAGTACTCGCTGGCCTTGCCGGCAGCATCCTTTGCGGATTCGGTGGCCTTCCTGGTGGTGGTCGACTCGAAGCGGGCGGCGACGCGGGAAGGGAGGGTGCGAGCGGTGGTCCGCATCAGCGGGCGGGCGAGGGCGGAAGACATCTTGGACCAGGGGGGGGTTTGGTGTTGCGGAAGAGAAAGAGAGAGGACGTCGACGGATTAAAAATCGGGGTATCTGGATCTCGGATCGGGATGCGTCGATGTGGGCGGCTCCGGGGTCGAAGAAGGAGCTTCGTTGGCTGCCAATTGATGGGAAGGGGGTGGTGATGGGTGGTGTCTTTTTTGCGTGAAATGAAAAAAAGAGCTCTCTCTGTCTCTCTTGCCAGAGTCTGCCCGACCTCTCGGAAGATTTCGCTTGTGCTGTTGTTGCGAGCCGGAGGAGGGATGGCCCGTGCGCTGTTCTCTTTTTCTTGCTTATGAAAAATGTCAATTGCTAAGGCGAAGGCGAAGGCGAAGGCAAGGGGGAGCTCAGTGCTCAGGTACAAGGAGTAAGGTACCTTTTCCCTTTGCTTCCCAGGGGAAAGAGGTTGGCGCACCCGCCGGCCCAGCGGACTATGCCGCTTTAAGATCGAACCAATCACAATATGGGTCTCTCCAAGGAAAGTGGGGCACTCGTTCAGTGAGTGCAGGCAGGCACACTGGGTGGCAGGTCACTCACTCACTGGTGAGATCCACTGAGCGAGAAAAGGTTCATCGGCAGGTGCTGGGGCAGAATGGGTTCTTGCCATGAATGGATACCTAGGTACTGCATTCTCGTCTGTCCCATTCCCAGGTTGCAATTTGTCACTGACTTACAACCCCGAATCCCATCTTATCAATCACCATCAGCATCACCTTCTTTCACATGGTCCGTCACTATCATCAACAGTAAAGAATCGTCACTTTAATTGAAGCTTCAACTTGTCATACGAATTCATTGGGAACATATCTCTAAAGTATAGTCAAAAACCCATCCATGACACCAAATCGCCAGCACCGCCATATTATGCCCAAAAAATCAATCGTTTCGTCTAAGCACCAGACTTGGCTTAGTCCAAGCTCTGGATCATGACCTTGATAGCACCCGACTTGGGGTCCTTAGCCGCCTCGAAGGCGCCGAGGGCATCCTCGAGCTTGAACTTGTGCGTCACCAACTTGCTGAGGTCAACAACACCGCTCTCCACCAAACGGATGGCTCTGGGCCAGGTGTTGCAGTAGCGGTACTGCAACTGAATATCAACCTCGCGAACGCTGGCGCGCATGAAGGGGAAACTGATCTCGTTGCGGCCAACACCAATGATGAAGACCTTTCCACCAAACTTGCAGGCCCAGACAGCCGAAGCGATACTGCTTTCGACACCAGTGCACTCCATAACCACGGCCGGCTCAACACCTCCAAAGGACTCGACGATGCGCTTGGCCTCCTCCTCGGCGGTTCCGCGGCCGACCTTGTGGGTGATGGCTGTGGGCACCAGCTCCTTGGCGAAAGCCAGACGTCCATCGTCAATATCCGTGACAACCAGCGGGCAGGCACCCGCAGCCTTGGCACAGAGAAGGGTGATGAGACCAATGGGACCGGCACCGCAGACGAGGACCGGATCGCCAAGGCGCACACCGGCACGCTGCATACCGGCCAGAGCGACACTCAGGGGCTCCAACATGGCACCGTTCTCATATGTCATGTTACCGATCTTGTGGCACCACACAGCAGGGTGGTTCACGTATCGTCGCAGGAGACCTGGGACTGGCGGGGTGGACAGGAACTGGACCTTCTCGCAACCGTTGTAACGACCGGTCAAACAAGGCTCGCAAGAGTTGCAGATAACGTTCGGCTCGACAGCGACTCTGTCGCCAACCTTGAGGTGGGTGACGCTGGGGTGGACGGCGAGAATCTCACCGGCGGACTCGTGGCCGAGGATGTGGTCGCCATCGACAATCATGGGTCCGATGCATCCGTGCTTCCAGAAGTGAACGTCGGATCTGTTCCTCTCGGTTAGGCTTGTCCTTGTGTTCTAAAGGGGGACTTTTGTGTGGCACGAAATACTTACCCGCAAATGCCGGTGCTTCTGATGGCCACCGTGACTTCGCCATGCTGCAGTCCCTCGCCGGCCTGAACAGCCTCCAACTTGGGCTCGGCCTCGTTGATCCACAGGTCGTGTGCGGGGTTGGTGTAGACGCCAATGTTGGCCTTGGACACCTTAACGGAGCCGACCGCGGCGGGAGGATCAAGAGCTGAAGGAGACATTGTGAAAGTCGGTTGTCTCTGTGTGTGTGAGGAGTGGTAGGGCTCAAAAGAATGGTCCAGGAGAGTGGTCTCTTGCTAGGTAAAGATATGATATGGCGGCGGGGTGTGAAACGTGGGTGTGAGATTGACGAGACGACTGACAGCAACAGCAAGGGCGAGGACCTGAGTCGAGGGTATGGGCGAACGGGACAGAGAAAGCGGACAGAGAAGAGGAAGAGTAGAGCGGACTGGAGCACAACGACACACGATCGGACAGTCGCCCGGCTGGATATATACCTTGGAGCTACTCGTGGATTTTATTTTTTTTATTTTTCTGGGTCGGCCAACAATCCAGCAGCTTCGTCGGCCCTTTGGTCAACAAATGTTCGAATCCAGCCCCTCATCACCCCTCGTCGCCCAAGGCGAATAGTTTGACCCCAGTTCCCCACGTCGAAACGTCACGCAGGGTCGAAGCTTGTTGGCAAGGGGTGGGGCGCTGCCGCGTTGTGGGAATCGTTCGGTCGCTGTAAGACCGATTCTTCCTCTTTGCGACTTTCCGCTCCAATCACGATGACGATCCGTACCCGACATATACCACTCCCCGCGACACGCTTCACTGACATTCTACGCTTTCTCTCATATAGTCTCACTACGGATACAACGAAGCGGCACGTCTCGCGCTTTTCCAGGTCCAGGCACGCCGGGAGGGGCAACCATCTCGACACACGCGCCACGGGGATTTTTTTCTTTTGCGTTCACGTGGTATTCGAACCAGGGGACTTCGTTGAGCTTCCGCATCTTTACGGTTTACGGTCGACCATCGTCTTTCCCTTGTCGTAGTCGTATTGTCGCTTGCTGAGGACCATGTCGCTCCACGAATCGCGACTGTGGCCGACGCAAGATCCTTTAGCTCCACGGAAACATGAAGCCCCTCTCTTCCCCGTCTCATCTAGTCTCCAAACATTCTGGAGGTCGGCCCCCGAATTACCCCCATTCGAACTTCGCCCTAATCACCGGGGAGTCGCAAGCGGCAGACGCCCTAGGTAGCAGCGAGCATCGTACCTCGGTCCTCTACCTCCCCTTTCGAGATGCGCTTCCGTGGGGAAGCCTTTCGAACTTTCGTCGTCTCATCCCACCCAGACGCGCTCCCGAAAGCTAATTATATGCTTGAAAACTTGCTGCCTTGCATACTAATGCAGTCAGTACCTCATACTCTTGACATATGAGACTGTGTCTGTTTCTCGTTCTGCAGACTGCCGTAGACCGGGCAACTCTCGTTGGCCGCGGGGTCGGGCGACAGCCGCGCCGACGCACATCTTCCCGAAGAACTGATAGACCAAAGCCGGTGACACCTCCATCTGATACAAGCGCTGCGCTGTGTTGCTGATTTGTGCGTGCTCTGCGGGATTTCTTATCTACCGACTTCTTGGTACTGCATGAATGAAATCCGAACTTTTCTTCTTCAACCTATACACACTCAGTGACATTAACACCCGTCCAATCGCTCTAGACCACTTATTACCCGCAATCGGGGCAAGTAGTGAGCTATACCCGCCGCCGTCGGGACCAGAATATCCGAGGAGAAAACTCGGACCCCTCTCGCGCGTCGTCGTGCCTTTGTCATGCGCCCAGGCCTGACCTTTGGCCCGCCGGGCGACGAGTGGCACTACGACAGACCGTCGCGAACCTATGATCTCACCCGGGGCCGGTCGCCGGCTTGGAAGGTCGGCACCAGCCAAGGACCAGCGGGGACGTCGGTTTCGGTGAACCCCCACAGCACGGCGCTCGTGATTGTCGACATGCAGAATTACTTTTTGCACCCCAGCTGTCGAGACCACCCGGCCGGGCTGGCGGCGGTGGAGCAAACCAAGAAGGTTGTTGAGAAATGCCGCGAATTAGGTATCCAGGTACGGCCTTGAACCCATTCTACCTTACTCTCACCCGCCCTTATTCGGACGTTCGGGGCACCCGGCAGACGTTACCGCCCGTCTTACCGGAGGTACAGAAGCAGTAGTACTAGACAGGACAGAGATGAGGGGCACGCGGGGGGGTAGAAGTCTGGAAGGGGATTGGGGGAGGGAACTTTTGCCGGGGTAGCGGTGGTCAAACAAGCGACCCCCAACGTATCGTAGCTCACTTTTTCCGTTGCGGCACACAGGTAATTTGGCTAAATTGGGGCCTGACCGACGACGACCTGGCGCGGATGCCCGCCAGCGTCCAGCGCGGCTTCTCGCGATCGCTCGTCCTGGGCGACGAGGGGAAGAGCAGTTCTCCCGGCGACAAGGGGCATACCCTCGCCCGCCTCGGCCTCGGCGCAGATCTCGGCGATGGCAGGGGCCGCTGCCTCGTCGCGGGCGAGTGGAACGCCGACATTTACGAGCCGCTGAAGCGGAGCAGTCTCCGGACGGGGGAGGACGTGCGGTGCGACAAGAATAGGATGTCGGGGATGTGGAGCCCGGAGCAGCCGCTGCGGAGGTATTTGGAAGGTACCCGGGAGAGTGGTGATGATGAGGAGGGTGTCTCCAGGACCGGGAAGGGAAGAGGAGGAGGGATCCGAACACTGCTCTTCGCCGGGGTGAATACGGACCAGTGCGTCCTCGGCACGCTGACGGATGCGTATAATGCCGGGTGGGATTGCATCTTGATCGAGGACTGCTGCGGGACCGGGACGCCTGGTGCTCCCGAGGTGTGCCTTTACAACATTTCTGTGAGTTTTTTTTTTTCTTCCTCTCTTCTCTTGGCTGGTCTATACCCTCTCCTTCTCCCGATTTGGCATGGCAGTGGATCTTGCTTGTGATTGCGGGAATGGCTGTGATGGGGCGTTCGCTAAGCCTTGCTGTAGGGCTCCTACGGGTTCGTCGTCTCGACAGAGACATTTCTCGCCGGAACGGCTTCTTGAAAACGCTTCGCACTACTCACCATGTGCGTAAGGTGATGTCAAGGTGAGGAAAGGTGATGGTTTAGTCAGATCACTGAGTCAAGCAAAAACGTACGATGGGGCTCAACCTCCGGAAAAGGAAAACAAAAAACTAGAAAAACTTTTAGATCGACGAATGCGGTTGTTTGTGAAGTGGCCTTCTCTCGTACCGAATATGCGGGACGCTTATCGTGCAAACGAAAAGCCACCCGATGTGTGGTTGTTCGCGATACGAGACAGTGGCCAATGGAACGGGCAACGTGGGGTGGGAAGGTGTGAGCGAGGAAGAGAGAGAGAAAGCGAAAAGGCAATGTCTCCGAGAGGCGCCCCAGTCAGCACCAACACGCGTTTCTGTATCTCGTGGCCCGTTTCTGAAAATAAGACTGAAATTCTGATGTCTGTGTTTGTTGGGCTAAGCATGTGATTGATGATGGCATGGATCTATCGAGGCTGTGACAATTATCTGCGTGATTTCATCGTATTTCATTTTGTAGCTCTCTTCTTAGTTTTGATTTCGACACTCTTCAACCGAAGATGTCGTTTGCCCCCGAGCTTGATTTACCCATGATGTTATCATGTCCTTGACAGCCCATTCTCATTAAGATGACCCATCGACGAACAATCATAAATCGTGTCTACCTACCTAGTGTAAGCCGGTGCAGCCGTCTCACTCCGCCCGAACCACCCGAGAAACTCGTCTTGGAGACCGAGAGGGTGAGGAGGGGGAGCGGAACTCCGACCGAGTTTTCCCATTCGTCCAAAAAAAAAACTATGAAGAAGAATGTTTCCCAAGATACCCGACGAGATGCGCATAGTCAGACCAAAGTGTGGTGTATGTGCATCTGCACGTCTGTCGGCCCCGGCGCCGTCGTCCAATCCCGAATAGGCAGTCTGCTAATCCCTGAGTCCTGCAAAAAAGAAAGGGCTCCAATTTGTGGGAAACCCTAGGTTGCGCCCGTAACGCCGTATCTATCTGACATTGTTGGGGAGGGGGGCCCGTATGCGAACGCCGATATATGCATGTCGTTTTTTTTCGTAGTAGTCGACTCTGGCTTGTATGATTAGGAAGGGTGTGGTTACTCGTGGGCGGCCTTCATCGTTGTGGTCGTCGTGTTAACGTTGAACGCTTTGACGATGTTTGGTGCTTGAGGGTGTGTTGCGAAATCGTTGCGGTATGAGCTTAGATAGCTTCTGATAAAAATAAGAGTCTGCTTCAACCACTCATGACGACGACGTCGCCCTTGCAGACGCCGTATGAGCAGCAGATTTCAGGACTGGCTTTGCCGTTGAGGATGTCATCTCGCTTCCACTATATATGAAAAAGTCAGAATCTCTAGTGATATTGCGGTGGGCACCGGAGGGGTTGGGGGGAGACGACGAACATCAGGACAGGGAGATGGCCGAGCCTGGACGAAGGCGCCGAGAGAGGCAATGGCGAGAACCATGGAGAACACGGCGGGGAACTGCATTTTGTTCCTTCGGTTATGATGGAAAGGAGAACCGGCCGAGTTGGTTATGTTTGTTGTGGGTGTTTTGTCGGGAAGTTTGACTTGTCCGAGGTTTCTGATGAAATTGGGAACCCAAGTCGTCGCTTTGTTGAAGGCAGCGAAAGAGGTTGAAAGGTAGTGAGGAACACAGGGAGGAAACAAGTGGTGAGGAACGAGTAAAGAGACGGAATGGCGGGAGTGGCCAAGAGACTTCTTTATGAAGTTCAGTTAAAAACCAAGTATCTCACGGAATGCGGTGGGGTCGAGTCCTGGGTGATGACAGGGTGGGAGGAATGCTCTTTAATATAGACAAACAAAACAAGATGTACTCCGTACACGAGCATTCTGGTCTGATAGGGACGCCCATCGGAAGCTCAAGGGTGACGGCGTTAGTCCGCGCCACACCTTGCAGCTTCTTGCTCCGGCCGTTAGTCAATGCCCATCTCCCGCCCGTGACAGTCATCTGGAAGCCCGGGGGTGCCGGGGGTTCACGAGGGGCCGCCTGTCCTGGAAAGCAATTACAGATGATGGAAGGGAGAGATAGAGACGACATGTGCCTCACAATTCCTCTCAAATCGCGAGTTGGCAAGATTAACGCGCATCACTGAGACACTGCAGCTTCAAGTTTGCCAGTCGGATACACGACGCCTGGTGCCATCGGTATTGTAGCAGCCGTAATAACTTTTACCTATGAATCTGGCGGAGGAGAAGACAACATGTGTTCCGTTCTACAGAGGAGAGATTGACCGGGGGTGAAGTGCCAAGTATACAAACGAAATCGAGTCTGATGGATCAAGATCTACCAGACCGGGGCTATTGCCGGGGGACGTAGGGCGCGAACAGGAAGAGGAGGGGTTGTATCTTGTGGGTGATGGCTCGCTGGGCCGGCGACATTCAGTTGCTTTTGGCCGAGACCTTGTGAAGGGAAATAAACGCTACTGGCAATTTGTCGCGAACGAGTTCTCCAAAGTGGCTAGCGGTCGGCAGGGACCGAGAATGCTGGGAATCTGGGAAACAATGTCTGTGCCATTAGCACGAGCTGAGGGCGTGGGACTAGGACAGGGGAGGTTTGGCGCTGTTGTGGTGGGGAGCTGAGGCATACGAAGATTCTGACGAAGAAGCTGAGGCGCGGGAGACGCAGCCGGCGGGCGACTCGGGGAGGCGACATGTGGGACAGGAATAGAAACTGTGGCTGAGAGGCAACAAGACGTATGTACAAAAAACAGTTGATGACCGACTCAAGCATTCGCAAGAAGAGTAGAGTGCTGTGCAGTTAGCGAACAAGCAAACGGCCGCTGCCGTCGAAGGTGCCCAGCCTTATTGCAGCCAAAAAGCAAATGTTTGGGAAATGTCGTCCATGCTTTTTCCTGATGTGTTCATTAGGTTGAACATCAGACGATGATGAACAAGGTTCGCCGTGGCTTACTGCTGAGACCTCTGATGAGATTGCATTCAGCGGGATCGTGGGTTTCGGTGGGTAGCGTGGCTTCTCCCTCGTGTTCACGACGCAGTCCTGGTCCAACCGCCGTTTAAATCGCGCAATGGCTGGCGGGAGGCTGCTGATTCCTCTTTGTCCAACGCTGATATCGAGATTCTGGTGTCCGTTCGACTCTCGAGTCCATGCAACGAACGACCCGACCGCAAACAGTGGGGGACCAGCGCTGTGAGCGTCAGGACGACGAAAGTTGCCCCCAACAGCTTTTCTTGGCAGTCATCCGTGTTGGTGCGATTGCGATGATTGTTAGCGGCAGAAGCTTGGACGACGTTGTTAGACAGGTCCGAATCCCACGAGAGTCTGAAGGGAGCGCCCGAATGGTGTTATCGGACGATAGATTGAAGTCTCACTCCCCTGCATCCCCATGGTTCCAGGCCAACGAAATCGTAGGACAGCCCGTCGGAGTAGGCATCTGTAGCCTCGACTTGGCTCTTCCTAAACTTCTGTGCTCAGGAGTGTTGCTTCTGCTACCAGCAAGGAGTCTTGACGGCTGCCGGATTCCGCTGCACCAGTGCCAACGGTCAGTGACCACACCGTGTTCCATGTATCCGTACGGATAATTGCCAGAGTCAGACATGTCGGTTTTTGGTTGGGTTGTTTGGTGTGACCCCACGTCGTGCCGATTGTATATGGGGGTTGTGCATGTTGCGAAACGTTGCGTGGTCGACATCTTCAATTGGGTGACGCCTCGAAGACAAGATGCCAGTGACTCGTCCGTACGCTGCGTACCAAAATCTCGCGCTTTCAATGATACTCTTTGCTTTGTATCCTGGGATCTAAGCGTGTGCTGTGCAGCAGCAATTCTCGAGTAGTCAGGATTGCCCTTGTCAACAGACTAAATGAAATTCGTCAAATGCCTTCATCTGGAAGCGGAGTACACCAACACAAGCTCGAAAAGGGGTTGGAGTACGATCCAGGCCCAGGCTGGCAATGGCAATGGAATGTAAGACAATCTGAGCTGGAATTGGTCAAGATCTTGCAGGACTCCCAGACTTTCTTAGGCATGGCGTTCAAGCAGCCAGTTGAAAGCTTGGGGTACGGACAGTAGAATGCAAAGAAGTCAGTTGCTCTTGTATGTAAATACGGGCCGAACCATGACCCCGTCTGCACCTGCTTTGCCGCACGCACAGTCATTGTTTTTCGGATGAGTTGGGCGGCCCGAATTGCTCATCATGTCGAAATGTTGAAAGATGAGGAAGTCAAGCCTCAGAAAGAAGATGCTGATGGCAAAGGAAGCAAGCAGCCATCCATCTTGGAAAGAGCAGAGCGCCATTTTGCACCGCCACACGTGGCTGGTGATTTGATGCCAAGCCACGCCTTCCCTCTGCAAAAAAGCTAAGCTTTTGTGGGCACGAACCCTTGGCCGGGAGGTTGTGGGCGGCCCTTCCCTTTTTCGCGATGCACCACTCACAAGTCATAACTTGCTGTCACTGTCGGTGGTTACGACTCGCTGCCGTGTCGGCTATTGATCTTTCGGTCTCTTCCTACGGAGTAGTGGTTCCTTCAACGTCAAGTGTCGATCGAAGCAAGCACGATAAGATCTGACGGGCACCTCCTATCTCCAGACTTCGGACCCGGGCGCTCTTCAATCCTGTCACTTGTGTCTCTCCCCCATCTGGAGACCCCAAACTTCATCTCTTGCGCTAGACTCTAGTCCGCATGGAAGCCAAAGAAGATCATCACCAATCTCTCGTCTTCTCATGCTTTCGGCTCTGCGGCAGCTAGACTCGGCCCCATAGCGGACATACTGCCCTCCAACAACCAATTGCAGTCCTCCTAATCCCCTCCATCCTGGTCTATCTTATCGTTCAGATTCGTCCGCCAAGATAACGCATCTTCAGCAACCCTCGACTCTTCGATTTTACTCACCGGCCCTCTCCTATTTTGCCTCCCGTGTTGCAGGTTCACGGACTAACAGAAACCTGGACCACATACCTGGGTGGCCAATCCCTGCTTCCTGTCAGCACGGATGGTACTCTGCAACGCCTTCACTCAAGGAAACATGCCTCCTTTTTTCGAATCATGGACTGATACTTTCTGCCAGAAACTCAGTAAAAAAATAAGTTAAAAAAAGTTATAAAAAAAAAAAACCAGAGTTGTCTTAGAGAAGCACGTCAAGCCCTGACCTATGGGCCACGGCCTCCGCAACTATCGCCTGACTGCCTCCATAGTGACCAACAAGTATCCAGAATCATTGCCCATTCGAAATTCGCTATTGGGCAGATCAGCCCGGAACACCCGAACTTTGCCTCCCAGTCCTTCTTCTAGCTCACTTGAGGAGCTCCAGTTCCCCTTGCCGAACCTATCCCAAACGGCTGTCAAGTGCCGGCCTACTTCCGAACCACACCAGTCCCGCCGTCAAGGACGCGTCGGTGGGCCATCAAAGGCTCTTCAATGCCGCGGTTCTTATCTTGATCGCTCCATGTCCCCCACCTACACCAGTTTCGCGTCAGGACTTGGTGTGTGCTCTGCGAAAGCCCACGACTGAGGCTGTATCTAGACTCCAGAAATCTGGGTATTCCGCGGTCCGCCGTTTGTCGCGCCCTGATAAGGGTTCCTCCACTTTCCGCAATGAATATTACTACTCGGCTCGCCACTACCATGTTCTAACTCCTAGACTCTTCGTGGACCTCTCAGTCTCATCCCCTCACAGTTCACCAGTGCTTTGAGCATCTGCTCGTCTCTGCCGGTTTCCCGCCCACGAACGTCCACCGTCCTGTCCTCACTTTCAGTCGATATTCAGGGAAAGCAATGAGCTGTCGGTGAACTAGATCCAACCTCATCACCAACCTCACGGGAATCACCACAGTCCAAACATGGCTATATTCGAGACCAAAAGCGACATTTCGTCGACTGGCGGGGAGAAGAAGTCGGCAACCGATGTAGAGCGTGGGTACTTGGGAGATGACCACGCCGTTCACCAGGCCGATTTCGCAACCGGAACCAGCACCTACGCAAAACTGCAAAGACTGGCGGGCAAGCTTGGTGTTGAGCAGCGTGGTATCGAAAGGGTCCCCGAAGACGAACGAATCAACGATGCCGTCGCCAACGTCGGAACGTTGGTAAGTCCAGCTTGATGGCTGCGCTCATTCCAGGAACCCATCCTGACCCTTCTACAGTGGTGCTCTGCCAACATGGTAGTCTCATCTTTTGCCATTGGTGTTTTGGCTATTCCGGTTTTCAGTCTCGGCTTTGTTGATACGGCTTTGACCATCATCTTTATCAACTTTCTGGGAGTCTTGCCGGTTTGCTTCTTCTCGACCTTTGGCCCCACATTCGGTTTGCGACAAATGGTCCTGTCTCGGTACTGGTTTGGTTTTTACGCTGTCAAGCTGAGTATGTGACTGACTACCTGCCAACTCGTCATGAGTTTACTGACTGGTTTAACTAGTTGCCATATTCAACATCCTTGCCTGTCTAGGCTGGTCAGCAGTCAATACCATCGTCGGCGCTCAACTCTTCCATGCGGTCAACAACAACATGCCTGGGTGGGCCGGCATCCTCGTCATTGCCATCTCGACTCTAATGATCTGCACCTTTGGCTACAAAATCGTCCACACCTACGAGCGATTCTCCTGGATCCCTTGTGCCATCATCTTCCTCATCGTTCTCGGCGTCTTTGCGCACTCAGGCAAATTCAATAGCATGCTGCCCATGAGCACTGGCCCAGCAGAAGCGGGCTCCGTCCTCTCCTTCTCTGCCAGTGTCTACGGCTTTGCGACAGGTTGGACATCCTACGCCGCCGATTACACGTGCTACTACCCGGCGTCCACCTCCAGGATGAAGGTCTTCCTCGTCACCTTCTGCGGCCTCTTCTTCACCCTGTGCTTCACCGAGCTGCTGGGAGCCGCTGTTATGACTGCCAGCGTTACCGACCCTACGTTTTCTGACGCCTACGCCAACTCTGGAATCGGAGGTCTTTTGGCAGCCGTTCTGGTCACTAAGCTCGGTGGCTTCGGCCAGTTCTGCCTCGTCATCCTCGCACTCTCAATTATCGCCAACAACTGCCCCAACATCTACTCCGTCTCCCTCTCTCTTCAGGTTCTGTCCAGAAAGACTGAGCGTATCCCTCGATTCATCTGGGTCTTTGTCGGCACTGGTGTTTATATTGCCATCAGCATTCCGGGCTACGACCACTTCGAATCCTGGCTCGAGAACTTCATGCTCATCATCGCCTACTGGCTCGCCATCTACGAGGGAGTCAGTCTCACTGATCACGTCGTTTTCCGTCGCGGCATCAGAGGGTACGACATCAACGACTGGGATACGCCCTCGCGCCTGCCACCTGGATTTGCGGCTATTGTGGCTTTCTTGATGGGCGTCATGGGTGCCGTGCTCGGCATGTCACAAAGCTGGTTCACCGGTCCCATTGGGAAGCTTGCCGGCGGAAGCTTTGGTGGCGACATTGGCTTTGAGCTAGCCTTTTCCTTTGCGTCAGTGTCCTACATGGTGCTGCGTACAGTTGAGAAGAAGTTCTTCAAGAGATAGCCAGCTGAGCGTGCAGCGAGCAGAGTAAGTGAGTGTACGATATGGAGCTATGGCTTGTATATACTTGAAGTGTAGGCGTATATGGTGTTGGGAGGCGTCCGCTGGACCTTTGAGTTGCGACAAGTTTTTGTTTGAGGAAGAACACCCCAGACTTACCTGGGAGTTGCATATGACCACTTCATAATTGGTCTTTGATAGTAGAAGCATGCTACTGAAATTTGAATAAAACCAATCTACGAATACATTTATAAGAGTGTCGTTAACGCGGATAGCGTGCCAAGCAATTGCTTCATCTAGTTCCCGGAACTCTAAGTTTAGCTACATAATTGTGGATCAATAGTATCTGCAAGCCCATGTGAAGATGAAATTTAGACGAGCACAGTGGATTGATCAAAAATCAATTTTTCCCGCTGCGCAGTCGAAGCATGATATCTGTCGAAAGAAATGGAGCGATGGCCATGCGCGTCATATCATAGCCATCATCACCACCACCATGCCAGGTACTACTTGATGGGGATTCTAAGTCGTCGATGGGTTTGCTCAACGTAATCTCTAGCTTCCAATGCTAGAGTTACGAGACGAAAGGCTACCAGCACCGACTGGTCTTTTCCCTTTCTTCGCAGCCCCAAAACGACAAGAAATCTCAGATTGTTGTAATGAATTCGAATTTTCATCTTTCTTATCCTATTTTACCTCACGCAGACAGAGAATGTTACAATCAAGAGGTCAATATCATCTGAAAGAAAAGGGAAAAGGCGAAAAAAGTAACCCGCACCTTGGCCCTTTGCGGGAGTCGAACGCCGATTGGTTCGCACCGACAAAGTAGCAGAGGCGCGAATAAACCCGGGAAAGCTGCGCGCAGAACTAATCAGCAAACTATTTGGCTGGGTCATTGCTACCCGAGGCCCCCGGAGTCGAGAGAATCAGCGAGTTATGTGGTCTAAGTAGAACCCAGGCATGGGTTTGGGGGGGGCGCTTTGGTTGATGTATGATAACCTGAATAGGGTGGACCTGTGTCCTGAAGTAGATGATGGTCTGCGCGTGGTGAAGATTCACTGACAATGAACGTAGGTACGTAAGTTAGGTTTCTATCTACTTAAATCTATATCCTAGAAGCCGCCTGTGCCACCGTCTGTGAGCAACTTGTCTACGATCTCGAATTGCATCGTGTTCCTTGGATTAAAATCACTCTATTGAGTTGAGCGCGAGCTTAGGGCATAGTGTGAGCGCCGCACAGTAAACTGTATATCATGCTGTGTGATTTCCATTGGGACCCAGATCCGGTTGAGTTAGATACAGGGACTTGACCCTACCGACCGGATCGGACCGTCCAGGAATCCTCTCTTCGGCCCGCGAGCGCTACGGAATTTGGTCTTCACGTCCCGTTCCGCACGTTATTCTCTATGATCCCTATGTAAATGCGGGGGAGAACACAGTCTTGTCTCAGGTCAGCGTGTGATAACGTTCAGCTCAACGCCAAAGCGAGGATCGAGACCTATTCCGGCTCAGCTGAAAATACAACTGGGCCGTTGAACGGACCATCTCAGCCAGCCCAAAATGTGATGAATATGCACGCATTTTACTCGAGGATGCGGTAGTTCAAGCTCTCAGATGGCAATAGGCCAACTGTGGTGAAGCTGAGGTCTAGTTGATGCAAGCAGTCGTCTTGACGACGAGAATTGCCTAATGTTTGCGGCTTCTCCGTGCGGGGGTGTGAGACCTGTCACCTCGCGGATATGTCTACGGGGCTATGGCAGGTCATATGGGGAGGAAAACACCGAGAGGGAGATGGGCATGTTGACTAAAGTCTCACGAAGCTGAGACGACGGTGGTATAAGAATCCACAGCATCTCCCTCCTCTTCTGTCTTCAATATTTCCAACTCATTTCGAAACAAGTTGAACAAGACCACATTTCAAAGAACTTCTCAATCTTCAAAGATCAACCTTCCTCATGTCTACGAACGAGCCACAGCCCTCGGGCCCCGGAGTCTCCGTCGAGGAGTCGGCTCGTCCCAGTAATGACTCTTACAAGGCGCAATGGGCACGATACGTCGCCCGACACAAGCTTCAACGCGACCTCAAAGTCGCGTCAAGTAGAATGGAAGAGATTACTAAGCTCCCCATCTTGAAGTCGGTCTCGGCTCTCGCTGATGTCACAGAGACTGCGACTGGTGGCGGCCTGATTCCGGAGCATCACGGCAAATTCAAGGTCGGCATCGTAGGCGGAGGAGTGGCGGGGCTCTTCACGGCCCTCCTCCTTGATTGGCTCAACAAGGAGCTGGGAAAGCAGAGCGGCGAAGAAGAATACCTTGATATCGACTACGACATCCTGGAAGCCGCCGGCGAGGAACGTCTCGGCGGTAGGCTGTACACTTACAGATTCAGTGGCTCCGATGGGGGCGTTCATGACTATTACGATGTTGGGGCGATGCGTTTCCCAGAGAACGATGTCATGGACAGGTTCGTTTCTGACCCTCTGACACCAATTACGAATCACTATTGACCTACTTGCCTTTAGAACCTTCCGACTCTTCAAGTATCTTGACATTGATAAGGGGAATTTGAATGATAGAAAGAAGCCCACTGATCCACCCAAGCTCGTGCCGTATTCTCTTACGGCAGAAAAGCAGCCTATGTACTTCAACGATGTTCGCCAAGTGGGAAATCCATGGGAGTCCTCCAAGCCAACTGCCGCCAACCCGTTTAATCTCAATAACGGAGTGCCAGAGTGTGATCGTATTCCAGACTAGTCAGTTGTCGTGTCTGCCCTTCGAAAGAGTTTTTGCTGATAGTCCTCTGATCAACAGTCTATTGAAGGAGGCTCCTGGCGAGTTGTTCGAAAAGGCTATCGGAGAGTATCTTCATATCGTGCGAAGGGGTCTCGATGACCAGAAGGAAACAACGCCACCAACACCGGAAGAGGAGGAGAAGTTCTTCAACATGCTCATGCTCTCGGATCGGATGAGCGTTCGACAATTCCTTTTCTCGTACGTCGAAAATTCCCCATTATGTCTGGTAAAAGAGGCTAACACTTTCCGCAGCAACGAGAATGAAGGAAACATCCCAACAGGACCAGGCTACAACTATAGCACAGTCCAATGGATTGAGACGGCTACATTGTGAGTTTTCATTGTACCGTTGCAATCTAGTCCATAAAGTCAAAAAAGTCTGATACTCGCGCTTCTCAGTGGAACTGGTTGGTATGACCAGTCCCTGACCGAGGCTATCCTGGAGTCTCTCGACTTCAATACGCGAGACAACGAAAGCTGGTGGTGCGTCGATGGAGGCGCCCAAAGAATCGCAGACCAGATGAGGGACAGGATTGCAAAGCCTAATGCGATCAAATTCAACACACAGGTCATGGCAATCAAGTCTAACGTCCAAGTCAACTCAGTCGTCACTGCGGATATGTCTTTGAAGGTTAAAGACACCAAGACCGACAAACCCAAGGAGGATCCCAAGTACTTTACCGTATTCAACTCGACCACTCTCGGCTCCATGGACCGTATGGACCTCTCCAAGGCAGGCTTGTTCTGGGACACCAAGCAGGCAATTCGTTGTCTCGGATACGGTGCCTCGTGTAAGGTCGGCATGAAGTTCAAGACAGCCTGGTGGCGAAGAAACCCTTATAATATCACCGAAGGCGGTCTGGCTCGCACCGATCTCCCGCTCCAGGTGTGCGTCTACCCCTCGTACAACGTCGACGACCCGAATACAGAGCCCAACGTCCTCCTCGTGTCCTACACTTGGGGACAAACGGCACAGCGCATCGCAAGCCTGATTCCCTGTCGTAACGATCCTGCGGCCCAGAAGGAGCTTCGGAATGTACTTATCCACGATCTGACCCTCCTCCATGCTGATCCCGGTGTAAAAGACTCTTACAACGACACGTGGAAAACGATCTCCGAAAACCTCTCCGAGACGCACGGCTACGACTGGTACCGCGACCCATTGATGGCTGGCGCCTTTGCGTTCTTCGGGCCATGCCAGTTCTGGGACCTGTACCCAGCAATCACGAAGCCCAACTCGTTCGGCCAGCTGTACTTCATCGGAGAGGCGGCCTCGGCTCACCACGCCTGGGTCGTCGGGGCTCTGGAGAGCGTTGTGCGCGCCGTCTGGCTCATGTTTGACTGTCTACACCAGGGTAGCAAAAAGGACACGAGACCGGGCCACAAGGGATTCGCGGCGTACGAAAAGGCTATGAAGCTGTTGGAGGGGGACGGTCCCGAGAAGCTCCCCTTTTACCCTCTGCCTGCGGAACTGCCCAAGCGTTGCACAGACAGGCAGGAGACGCCGACTGACGACTTGATTGACCACCCCAAGCTTGATCACCAGAAAGAGGTCCCGATCATGTATGGCGCCGCTCTTGTTGCTCTGAGCCTGGTTGAGTCGACGTTGAATGAGTGGGCGAAGCCTGATGTCAAAGTCAAAATCAGAAAAGCTTGAATCGTTAGACAAGTACAAGAAGTAATCATTCGCGTTATCGAAGCTCTAGCATAAATGTTCGGAAATAGTGAATTTTATACGGCCGAGTGAACTTTCGGTTGAAGCGTAGAGTATGGAAATCTTGAATAACTCAATCGATCAACTGGGGAAAAGGTGATCAAGGAAAGTGGAAAGAGCTTCTTCTTCTTCTTCTTCTTCTTCTTCTTCTTCTTCTTCTTCTTCTCCAGCTATTATGGAAAGATTCTGGGCTTTAATGAATAACAACCACAACCACAACCACACGGCCCATTGCTGCAACGTAAGCCCCGAAACACACCCGTCTACTTACAACTGCTCATGAGAAATTATCAAATCTTAACCTTGCCATTTTTGCTGCGCATCGAGGCCAAGATATTGTGGGATGTGGCGGGGTTAAAACGCGGGGTGTAGACGAAGTCGGTTTCTATACGGAAATCCTCGGAAAATGTTGCAGGGTGCCACATAGCTAAAAGTTTAGGGTCACTATTTCAAACCGGCTCATCGGTACTACTGTAGTATGGGTCTTGAGAATGATTCCCATCATGAAGGGGAGATTAAAGAAACCCGACAGCCACAAAGGGAGTGAACAAGCTCTTTCGGTTTTGGTCATTGGAATCAGGAGGGTATTGATGCCATTCTGATTTCGGTCTTGTTTTGGCTGTAGGCCGGACTGAAGCGTCGAAGAGGTCAAACGTATCACGGACACAGTTAGAACAAGGACATTAGTAGAAAAAAACCCAGACGCTGGAGCGCTTAGACACTATCTTGTACAGACGCGTCTGCTTGAAGGCTTTGAGAGGCTGTGTGGAAGCACCACGGGATCTCCCTGCCAGCATTCTGACTGCCACCCCATGTCCACCGGGCTGTCTACATAGTCGGATTGTATCAGAGCTGATCCGGATCTCAATACAAATCACATCGTATGCCACTTTGAGATCTGCCTCAATTAGCTCTCGAGTCAAGAACTGCCCAATTTCCTCAAAAATGACCGACCAACCCGAGCAGTCCGAGGCCAACGAGGTCACTGAGACGGCAAGGAACACCAAGGGGCGCCGTACTGCGCACAAGAAATCTCGACGGGGTTGCATGCAGTGTAAGAAGTGCAAGGTCAAGTGCGATGAGTCACGACCCGTTTGCTTCAACTGCCTCCGGAGAGACGATGTCGACTGCAGCTTCCGGCGTCAGATCGACTCGGCCGGTGATGGTGGCACACGGACAGAAAACGCCACCACCATTGATCAAGAAGATTCATTCTTGTTCGACCTCGGCGCTCTTGCGCGTATTGGCGATGGCCGGCCCGAGTACGTGGCGAGGCAGATCGCCGTCGCGCTTAGGACAGAAGCAGCGACACACGCTCAAACCAATACAAGGCTCTCGTCTTTGGAAACAGGCCTCCAGCATGTCTCGAATAACAACAACCTGATACCTTCGCAGCCGGACCATCATGCCGAGCTCGCTCTTCTTCACCATTGGTGCACGGTCACGGCACCATGTCCATCGTGGGCTGGGTTTAGCAAGAGGAGGGGTCCCTGTGTAGAGCTTTCCGGCCGCTTTAAGATCTGGACAAAGCACAGGAGCTGAACAGTTTGATCGTTTGTGTCTTCTCGAGCTTTGGCGGTTGCTTGCCGTTAGAACCCGGGGTGTGGTGCAAAGCAGATGAAGGGGATACATCAAGGTGGAACAGGAAACCAAACCGCAGGGAGGCTTTGCGTACATTATTATCATCTTCTTTGTTACAATAAAGTAGCAAACGCGGCAAAGCGTAAGCAATGCTACTTATCTCCTGTGGTCTTCTTACCTGCGATCGCTCCTGCCTAGGCTTGAAAAGGGGGGAGGCGGCTGAGGAGTGGCAAGTCAAGTCTTCAACAGTCGGTGTCCTGGCAATAGGTCTAGGGGTTTGGAATTAGACCCAAAGTCCGATGGCAACGAGACAGTGAATTGCCAAGACTCTGAATTCAGGAGCGTCGTGTCTTGAAGTAGGTATCAGGCCGGGTTGGTGTACATGCCGTTTGTTTACGATCCAGACAGGCTGGAGAAGAATATTGAGAGAGCCATAATCTATGCAAGTACGTATATTCGGTGGATAATGCATCTGCCCTGGTAAGACGTTTTTAAGCATCCCGTCCGCGGCATGAGATATGTATGCTTTGTACTCCTGAATACGCCTGTTAAAAATGTAGACCCAAGGAAGATGCCGCCGTCACCCATAACCAAGCTCCGTATAACTTGAGGAGCTCGTCAATTACATGCCTTCTCTGAATGCAAAATGCGACCTCAATTACCTCCCCACCCATCCCAACTCATCGATCATAGCATGCTTTGTAACCGCAGAGTAGCGCTCAGTTGATGTTCGTCCGCGCTGCAGTCACCTCACTTGGTGTGCGTCATGATTGCTGTTGTTGTCAAGACTCCTCGTCGGATGAACGAAATCGAGCTGGAAGTTTCCTTTGCCTCGAACCGCGCTTGAGACCAACAATGTCGTCATCGTCATCATCTTCATCATCGGAGTCTGAACCAACGCCAGGCATCTTAAAGCTGGACTCGCTGTCATTTACCTCCAAAGGTCCCAAAACCCTCTTCTGCATCCGCCTCCTTCGGGATGATGGGGTAAGAGTGGGAGGCTCTTCATCCGAGTCCACGACTGCATCCGATTCGGTAGGCAAACGACGCGCTCTTGACACAGATGTGCGACCACCCCGAGATGCCCCGCGAGCTGTGATCGAATTCCCCTCAGTCCTCCGGCGACCTCTAGATCGCGAAGGAGTCGCGTCGATCTCTGCTTCATCTTCGTCAACGTCCATAGGATCCTCAACAGATTGAGTGAGAACAGACGTTGTAAACTTGCGTCCCCGAGCAGACCTCGAAGGTTGGCTCAGGTCAACCGAAATCGTGCCCCCCTCTATTTCAGGGTTCCGGGTAAGAAGCGGACTGGCGCGAATCTCATTTTCCACATGCTCCACCTCTGGTGGCTTTTCCACGGCAGGGCTCGGCGGACGAGGATTCTTTGGCGGGCGTCCGCGCCTCTTCTTCGGGGGCGGCGTATCATTTGCTGGCTTCTCGAGAACTGCTGAAATCTTTGCGTTTGTTTGGGAGTTGCTAATCCCGTGGGAACTGTTAGGACGTGCCCGACCACGCTTACGAGGGGTCGTTCGCGCGGAGCCATCCGCCTCTGAGTCTGACGGCATGATAGAACCCATCGATCTAACGCGTTGGATTCCGCTTCGGCGACGAGATACGGCTGGTCGCTTCCCCTTGGCTCGCCCCTCGGCATTCTCTTCCGATTCCAATGACGGATTAAAGTCCTCATCCTCATCATCACTCTTCACAACGCGCTTTCGCTTCCGGCTTGCAGGCGGTGCCACGTCAACGTCGGCCAAAGCTTCATAATCGTCTATCGTCACCTGTGGCGCCTCTTTTCGAGCTCCCGTGCGGACACTTTTCGCAATTTTCGCCGTGGCAAGTTTCTGCGCAGCTGATTTCTGCGTGCCGTTGACTCCCTTTCGGCGTCCGCCCCGGCCACGTTTGACCGGTATTATTCCTTCTTCTGCTCCAGACTCTGCATCTCCTTCAATGTCGGCCTTCTCCTTGATCATCTTCTTAGTAAGATTAGGGAAGTTTTCGCCGTAGTTGAAGAAAAGCTCCTCGCCAGCCTTGATGTTGCGTGTTGCCGAAAAGCGAATACGGTATTCGCCATTCACGTAGAGAATGCCGGGTTGAACATTGGCATTCTCTACAGCATGGTTGATGTAGCGACTGAGATTGCCGTAGATAGCAGCGTCGACCCAGATGCCTTCGTAATCTAAGAGACTGAACACATATGATGTGCTCTTCTCTACGGAGAAAGCCTCGCCGCGGCGTGCCTCTCTTCTGACCCCTTCGTCCGCCACGATGAGCTCGCCCGTGTACTCAATCACGAATTCATCCTGTGCGATGTCTTCTGCGGTGAATAAACCGTACCCACAGCCTTCCAATTGACTCTTGCCGAGAACGACAGCTTTGCTGACACCTCGTTGGATGGAGGTATTCTGGCAACCCGTCTGGAAGAGCGCGTCGTCGTGTCGGTTTTCAGGATCGGCCCGCTCAACCGCACCGCACGTTCCGCAAAGGTCTGGGTCGCATTCGCGATTTAACTGTACGCAAATGCAAGGACGGCCCTCCTTCTGTTTCTGTAAACACGTTTTGCCGCTGCCATGGCATCCGCAACCTGTGAATTTCCAAGCGCAACACTCCTCTGTGCAGCGACAGAAGCGCTCACACAAAATGTCGTTCAGTGCACATGGGCAGTCGTTCTCTTTCGAGCAAGGGCCTTCGTGATGGCATGGATCGTTGGATGGGCGGACCTTGGTGTCGTGAGAGTTTGTCTCTGCTTGCCAGTCGCCCAAAAGCATCTTTCTCTTGCGATCATACCAAGGAAAGTTTTTGGCTCTCGGTGGATCGATCGTCTCAATGGGTGGAAGCCTGATATCTAGAGATTGCAGATGGCGATGAACATCCCGACAGTCTCTGTTGAGAATCTCAGCAGTAGCGCATTGAGCCTTGACCCGGACCGTGTTATGATCCAAGATCGTGAATAAGCTGCGTAGTAAGAGAGTCTCATCTTTTGTCCATGGCTTCCCCTGCGCATCAGCACTGCCGGTACCATGGATCCGGTAGCACTGCCTTTCACACGGCGGGGGAGGCTCCAGCGGCTCTACTGGATCACTAGAAGATACCGTGCGATTTGCTGAGAACATACGCCCGTACATGCCGATGCAATCCATGGAGAAATTGCGTTTGTGGTTCTCAATGCTGTAATCTCCATGCTCGCATGAATTGCTGTAGCATATGAGACAGCCCATGACCGTGTGAGTCTCGATCCATTGCTCCAAAGAGTCCACTTTTTCGCTGTCGTCTTGTCCACCTTTTGCTGTCTTCTTCGATTCGACAATTTCGTCGACGGACTTGTCAAGCTTCAACACGTCACGGAGGAGAATCTCCTTTCCTTTAGGAGCGTCGTGGTAAAAAACCTGGTCAAACGCCTCGGTGAACACTCGTGCAGCTTTCAAAGCCCTTGGCGTGGTCGCGGCCATGTTGTCATCGCTGTGTAGGTTGACCAGACTCGTCTTTTGCTGTGGTGTGATAGCATCATCGGAATTAGAGCTTGCCATGTGGCGAATCAGGGTAGTTCGATTACAGTTGTCGATGGCGATCTTTCTGAGCCAAGAGTCCAAGAATAGTGATAGCGTCGCGGTTCTTTCCTTTTTGATAGTCCGGGCGACCCGTTGGTCACGACTGCCGAGAGTCTCGAAACCACAGCTTTTGTCCATTCTCTCCAACTCACCAAGCCAGAGATTGTAGTCTCGCTCCTCGTCAGGGTCGAGATCTCGAATGACGGGCACGAATTTGAGCATTGAGTTGGGAGACAAGACATTCTTGATGATTTCCGTATGATGAAAACGATACCTGGGCACAGCAGGCTTATCGGACTTCACGCACACTGGGAGATAGTGCGTAGCTCTGAGAGTGTCCACCTTTCTCCCACGGAAATGTTGCTTTTAAGAGGTTAGTCACGTGCATGATTTGAAAACAGTGAAGTCTTCGGGATGCCCGAAAAACAATGATTTGACTCACTTTGGCCCGGATTGTCATGGTGGTACCCGTTTGCTCAGCATCGGCTGGGGCCAGCTTTACATCGGCAAAGTAATCTATGCCGGTCTTAACGCGCGTTTCGACAGGTTTGGTAGATCTAAGAGCGTAGAGACACAGTTGCGAATGCACATTGCTGATGTCGGCTGAGTAACCCCGCAGCGAAGTAATGACTTGCCGGACATCAGAAATGTCCTTTTTCGGGGTCTGCTTCTTGGAAACGGCGGCTTGCTTGGGTGACTGATGGCTTGAGGGTCGCGTAGATGACGGCGGCGTCACCTGTTGAGACGTCTTCAACGGCGCCTCAACTCGTGGCGGTCGAGGCATCTCGCCGTTTAGACCGTCTTCCAAGTCGATTGAAGAAACCGAAGGTTGAACGGATACTGGTGGTGGCGAAGGATCCAGGACTGAGGCGGCATTGCTGGAAGCGGCGGTTGAGCCGCCGCTCGGGTCCGAAAGGCTATGCGCAAGGCCCAGAGGAAAACCCAGAGGGCCTTGACTCTCAACCTTGGTCCTGCCGAGTGGCGCGCGATCGGCATCCAATTGGTGATGAATGGAGGATCGTGATACGGGACTCGAATTGAGGGTCAGATCGATGATATCAATCTTTTCCCTAGACTCTTCTTGATCGCGGAATGGAGGCTCTGCCTGAGCGCGGTTCATGTAGTGAGTGGAGGCGGGATCGGTGTTGAGTGGGAGAAATCTGGCGTAGTCGATGTAGGGACCTTTTCGCGAAGGATGGTCCCGGTCGGACCCAGCGCGGAAGGGGGACATGTCGAAGGACACCTCAGTGATTAAGGTAAGGCAGGGGCGCAAAGAAAGCGACGGTGGCGGCGCCTTCTTTCCCCGTCACTGATGGCCTCTGCTACGTCCTCCTCACTTGCGTGCGCGAACACAGACAAAGACACGGTCGCTCACCATGCCCTCTTTCCCCGTTGTCAGCGTAAGCAAAGCCTGTAAACATTGACTATGGAAGTACCATGCTAGGCCGCCGCAATAATGAGCCGCTGGTGCAGTCAAGTCAAATAAAAAAATGGTGGGTGTTGATGGCGATGAAAAAGGGGAGTGGCGGTCCACGAAGGTCTCGAAAATGGACTTTGTGAGATGAGGTTGATGATGATGAGAGAAGATGAGATATTGTGAGACGCGTTGGTGAACTGCGAGGCTAAGCGCGTTCATGAAAGGAAAGAGTTGGAGGGAGAGATTGCAACGCACTAGGCCGAAAATGGGCCGGGGAGCAGGGATTGCACTTCGAGCAGTTCGCAATCCCGGCTCAGATATTCTTTGGCTCCCTCTTTTCCCGTGCGTTGCGGACTGTCGCTACAATTCTTTAGAGACTTGTCGACTCCCAAGTATCAGGCTCCAGATGAGAACCTTCTCTTTTGCAATCATTTTCAAGCATTCACTGAGTTTCAGTTCTTGTTTCGATACGTTGTGCCAGACTATGCTATGCTTGTTTCCACGCCTCAGGTACTTACCGAGCCGGATAACTAAGAGACTGTAGGTACTTTGTACCTATTGTCTTCAAGCGTAAAAGACACTCGAGTATGTTAACAACTTACTCAACCACCCTACCTCATACTGCACTGCTCCCCGTGGGTTTTGATTGCTTTTCACAACTCATGTATCTTGAATTCTTGAACTTGCTGGTTAAATTTGAAGTTCGACACCAGGAGGGAACCGTGCACTGGACAGACTCTAAAGCCTGCGTGTCAATTTCCGCCTGGCTTGGGTGTCTTGTAAAGAGAAGCGAAACGCAACTACGGGTACTGCGCAGATAGTTTTTCATTTATTTTCTATTTTATTTTTTACAACAGCCTTGTCTTTACTCCTCCGTATGAGGCAGGTAAAACACTCTATCAACGCATCAAACACATAGACGCAAAGAGACTCTATGTTTCCACAACTGAGGCAACTTGATTCAATCAACTCAAGAAACTAGTGCAAATACGACGAGATAGCACCATGCCAACCCTGAGGTAAAGTATTCGGCCGTGCATTGCGGCGTTCAACGTTCAAAAATGTCAACCCTGGCAATCACGCGATTGATAGCCAAATGTGATATGCTCTCTTCCATACACCCTCAGCCCTCAGTAATTTGTGCACTCAAGCACATTCCGAAGAAGAAGAAGAAGAAACAGGTTCAATTCGTCTCGAATTTCTCATAGCACGAAAGACGAAATTGCCACCCGAAGAGCGGAACTGAATGATTCAATTATGGAACAGACTACATCTTGATTTGTTTGTTTCTCTATACACATGCCCTTTCGGCGGCCTCGCTCGCTGGAGCTTACGACAGTTGATTGTGACAGGTTGACCACGTTGGTACATCTTGTTGTTGAATCGGGTGCTGGACGTTAGCTAGAAGAGATTCTCATTCTCACGACGATGCAAGAAAGCAAACGGTAAATATGTCTTATGTGAATTGCGAAGACTACTATTAATGCGGTCCTGTGCTCGACACTTTGGGTCAACAATGCCAGGTCAAACAAAGGTTTGGCAACACCATTATGCCCACCATCAAAGTTGTTCCCTCTTTTGTACGATTAAGATTGAATGAGAGCAATCTTCCTCGGTACTCACATACATAGAGACGACAATGGCTTATATATTTCAATATAGCTAGTAAGCTTATCTCGGGATTTCGAAATTTGGTGATAGATCTTCAATGGCGTGGCTAGACTTTTGACTAGAGGTTGTGAGATGGTTGATACGGTATCGAAGACGACTGTTGCTGAGTCATGCAACCAGCTATCATGGACGAGACTGGAGTACGGATGTATGTACCCCAGGCAGTAGCGTAAAACCCCTGGCAACCGGATAGGATTAATCCGGCCACGATGCTGCAAAAAACAGACAAGGTGTGTTTAGGAATTGGAAGAACGGACCAACAGGAGAGGGCGGCGCTAAGGAATGGTTCGCGCAGTCAAAAAGGAATCGATGAAATCATCGCACATTACACGGCCAAGCACAGTCGGTCTAGCCTCCAAATACCTGGAGAAGGCCGTGCCGAACCGGACGGCATCCAGCGCTAGCATCACAAACCCTGGACGACAATTTGATTTGATGAGTCGACTGGCAAGACGGAGAGTTCTGACGGCAATTTGGTTGTGTCTTGAGGAATGTCTTTCCTCATGATGTAGATTATGTTCATAGCCCGACGGTCTGCTAGGTAAGCACGTAAGGATGGTACTTGGTTTGGGCATTGAAGCAAGGGCTTTGGGCAGTGACGGTGATGGCAACTGACAGTTGATCGTCTGTCTACGGCATTTGTACTTTATCCGCGCAAATGCCCAGATGGCAGTTAAAAGGTTAAAAAAGCTAAGATGGACCAACCCATGATCCATCCCAGCCCACCTGCGTGCTGCTCAGTTCGATAGTCCAACCCCCGTCGGGACCTGCAGATGGCCTAGTAATGGGAACAGATAGGCATGGGTTGATGGGGCCTCTCTTGCAGCTTGCGTCGAAAGCTTGCTGTCTTCCTCATCCCAACTTCCCAAGTCGGTCCCCTAGAGCCCGGCCGTCCGTTTCATGAACCCACATTGGGCGAAGGGTTTTTAGAGACGGCGCCATCCCGGAGGACGATCATCATGGCTGTGCTTGGGAAATTTCAAATGGGAGACGTCTGGCCATGTCTGGTGGTTGGTCTTTGGTTCCTTTCTCCCTCCCAACCACGGCACGCCGCACGCATTGGATGGGTTCCATTGCTCGGTGTCAGGTAACTTAGCAGGGCCTCTTCTGCACTTTTCAGCTAACGTAGGCCGGGCTAGACCGCAAAGAGGGGTGACCTTGGGTAGAGCTTTGGGGGTTGTAGCTTTTGACGACAACACCGGGCTGGATTCAGCTGAAAACCACGCCGTCAATACCTGTCATGTGGGGTACTGCTCTTGTACCCGCGCAGGCCTGCAGGCACCAGGTTAGCTGGGTGACGCTGCGAACAACGCCAAAAAGTCGAGCTAAAGACACTGATGACGTCGTCAGCGCGAAAGAGGCACCGAGGGGGAGGGCCATTCAAGGGGGCAATGGGGGAGAGACGGCACACACACACACTCCCCGCCAGACCGTCACCTCTCAGCGCCTGTGTACTCCTTACGAAGTACGCGCACCTTGTCTTGTCCGTCCCGTCCAGTCGTCCATGTCTCTCTGTTTCGCCCAGCCCACCTCAAAGTCCCGTCACCTCCGCAACAAACCTCCCCTTAGACCACACCACTGGACCCTTTCCGGCGCCTACATATAAACACCCGGCCTCGCTTCATCCCCAGGCCCTCTTTGACCCGACCTCCATTTGATCTCTTCCCACTCATACCCCTTGTCACACCCCGCGATACCCTGCTTCCCAGCGCACCACTGCATTGAAGCTTCACTCCGTCGATATCTTACACATATCGTTTGTCTACAACGACTCTATATCGCCGACGCCGTCTTACCATCGCTATCGCTGTCAGTCAACGTCACTTCCGACATCATGCATCGCACATATTCCATGCGCCAGTCGAGGGCGCCCACCGCCTCGCAGATCCAAGTATGCGCCCAACTGAACAACAATCTTGTCGCACGATACTTACTATAACCGTAGAACCCTCCCCCGCCGCCTTCCTCCACCAAGTCTGGCCGCCTGTTCAAGGGGGGATTTGGTAAGTAGTAATCTCTCCATCACTACGTGACATATGCGCCATGTCATTCCTTATCGTACTCAACCGGGGACAAGATGGGCTAACAGACCAATCCAGGCCATGCTCTCCGCCACAAGTCAGCCGGTGCCTTTGGCCCAGACCTTTCAAAGAAGCTGTCGCAGCTGGTAAAGATGGAGAAGAACGTCATGCGCAGTCTCGAGCAGGTAGCAAGAGAGCGTATGGAGGTTGCTGTAAGTCGTCCGAAAGTACCATCATCCCGTCATACATCTGCTGACTTCGATTTTCCAGCAACAACTTTCCATTTGGGGCGAGGCTTGCGACGAAGATGTATCCGATGTAACCGACAAGCTTGGAGTTCTGCTCTACGAAATCGGCGAACTCGAGGACCAATACGTTGACCGATATGATCAATACCGTGTCACCATCAAGAGCATTCGTAACATTGAAGCTTCTGTTCAACCCAGCCGAGACCGTAAGCTCCGTCCTCTGCTAAACTGTACAATATCGGTACCTAACTAACCTTGATATTAGGCAAGCAAAAGATCACCGACCAGATCGCTCAGCTCAAGTACAAGGAGCCCAACTCCCCCAAGATTGTCGTTCTTGAGCAGGAGCTGGTGCGTGCTGAGGCCGAGTCGTTGGTCGCAGAGGCTCAGTTGTCCAACATCACGCGCGAGAAGATCAAGGCTGCCTACACCTACCAGTTCGATGCTCTCAGAGAGCACTGCGAAAAGGTTGCCATCGTCGCCGGCTACGGAAAGCACCTGCTCGAGCTGATCGACGATACTCCCGTAACTCCCGGAGAGACGCGCGCAGCTTATGATGGATATGAGGCTAGTAAGGCCATCATCCAGGATTGCGAGGATGCTTTGACCAACTGGGTCACGTCTCAAGCTGCAGTGTCTTCCAAGCTGTCAACTCGCGCACGCACCCTGTCAACGCGCCGCAGAAATAACATCAGGGCGCGTGCCGAGGGAGGTCACGACCTCTCTGGGCAAGATGTTCCGTTGAATGACGACTCCTCGTGGACGCGGGCCCATAACAAGGAAACTGAGTACAGCGACGAGGACGAAGAGGAGGATGACATCCACCACTCTGCCGTTGGTACTGATGACGGTCTCGGCGGCGAGACGAGAGGTCGCCAACACGAAAGCATTGCCGCATAAGGCGATGACTGGATGTTCCCCGACCTTAGGTCAATCCTCCTGCTGTTGGTATCGGACAGCACTGAGCACACCACTCGTAATGGCAGTAATGTTCGGGTTTTGGCAAAAGACAAGGAAAGCGTTTAGTACAGGTGTTTAGGAATTGGTGCCTCGGTAATCTAGTCGAGGTCGACTTGCTATGGTGAAATAGGATGGAATTCTATGGTTTAAAATAATGCCTTATTTTCAGCTCTTACTGTCCAGTCTTTTTTATCCAGACGGTGAACAGCACCGTGCCCCTGATGCTTAATGATATGTGTGTGTTCCCATGCCGGCAATCCTCGGTCCACGCCATGCTTTTACCACTTATTCCAGTCGCGCAAATAGTCAACTAGCTTCGAGACCTACACGACAACATCGGCGTATGGATTCCGGCCCCCGATCTGACTCGCGAATTCTTCCACTTCAATCTTCACAATGTACTGCCCAGGCACCACGACCAAGCCCAGGTACCTGGATGTCATGTCCATCGTGACCGAAGCGGTTCCTTCTGTAGCCTTCTTGGCGGCTTCGGCCCGCTGCTGTGCTGATGGCTGGCGGTATTCGTAGGTGTGTGCTAGAACGACATTGCGATCCTATCAATCCGATGTTGGCAGTCGTTAGCGAAATAGCTGCGACGAGAGAAGCCCATAGGAGGGAGGGAGCCAGGGTTGGAGGGGTGGTAATTTACCGGATCGGTGCACTTGAACTGGCCAAGGAACATGCGACCATCAGTGGCTAGAACGCGCAGGTTTTTGTTGAGGAGCGTAGTCAGGAAGTTTCTTCCCTCCTCTTTGTCCATGGCGACTGGTTGACGGCAATGTTGGACATTGCTCTCCAGGTGTCGGGGAGAGTGAAGGTTCTCTGCAAGGATGGGATGGCGCATAAACGGCTCTGTTGCGAACAGTCCCTTTGGCGGCGATTGGTAGCGGAGGAGGTTCGTGCCCCGCCGCTCACATCTGTGCCCAATCGATAAGCCTCGATAACGACGCCTCTGGTGGACGCAAGCGCGTCATGACCTTTAGCTCCCATGTCAAATGGCTTACAGGCAGCTGTGGCAGCCTGCATTCTTCACAGACTCATATCTTTATTCACATTTCACGATCGCCACACTGATATCTTTGCTATTTCGATTGTATCAGGACGTAGTGCCCACCTTCTACAATGCGATACACATTCGTTAGATGAGGAGAGCGCTTCTCGCAGCACCAGATACTCTCCCAGGCCGACCCCTCCGTGAACTCCGAACCAACGTTGCCGGCTCTGCCCTCCCGTCGACATCATGGGTGTGAACGGCCTCTGGACCGTCGTGCAGCCCTGCGCGCGCCCGACGAATCTCGCGACCCTCAACCGAAAGCGACTTGCCGTCGATGCATCCATCTGGATATACCAATTCCTAAAGGCAGTGCGTGACAAGGAAGGCAATGCCCTGCGCAACTCGCACGTTGTCGGCTTCTTTCGCCGCATCTGCAAGCTGCTATGGTTCGGCATCAAGCCCGTCTTCGTCTTTGACGGCGGCGCTCCCGTTCTCAAGCGCCAGACGATCCAGGGACGCAAGCAGCGGCGCGAGGGTCGGAGGGAGGATGCCGTCCGCACGGCTGGGAAACTGCTGGCTGTGCAGATGCAGCGGATTGCCGAGGAGGAGCAAGATAAGAGGAAGCGCGATGCGGATAGAGGCATTCAACGAGAGCGAGAGGAACCGCAGGAGGATATACCCGATATGGAACAGATTGTCTATGTCGACGAAGTTGGCATGTCGCAGCAAGAACGTCAAAAGACGAGGAAGTTTTTCAAGCAGGATGCCTATCACTTGCCCGAAATGGATGGTGATATTGCATCTATGGCCAAGGCGGATGATCCTAGAATTATGAGCATTGAAGACTTGGAAGAATATGCCCGACAGTTCCACAACGGCGAAGACATCAACCTCTACGACTTCAGCAAGATTGACTTTGATGGCGAATTCTTCCAAAGCTTACCTGCGGCTGACAGATACAACATCCTGAATGCGGCAAGACTACGCAGTCGGTTGAGGATGGGCTTGAGCAAGGAACAGCTTGACGAGATGTTCCCGAATCGCATGGATTTTTCAAGATTCCAGATCGAGAGAGTTCGCGAAAGAAACAATTTGACACAGCGCCTCATGAAGGAAGCCGGCATGACAGGTCTCGATCTCACTCTGAACGGTGGCGGGAGAATCGCTGGTGAGAAGGACAGGGAGTATATCCTGGTCAAGAACGACGGCGCAGAAGGTGGCTGGGCCTTGGGAGTCGTGAGCAAGGAGAAGGACCTCGGCGAAGCTCACAAGCCCATCGATGTCGATGCCTTGGATTTTCAATTCCAGGCAAAAGAAAAGGCTGAGGCATCTGAAGAGGAAGACGATTTCGAAGATGTTCCAGTCGAGGGGTTGAACCGGCTGCCCAGAATGTCTTCCACTGCAGCTGCGCAAGCGTCCCGGCAAGCAGCTCTCCAGAGGCAAAATTTATATGGGAACCGGGGGAGCAATGAAGTCAACGACTTATTCGAAGAGGAGGAGGAAAGTCTTTTTGTCGATGGTGATTTGCCCGAAGCTCATGTCAGAAGCGCAGCCAGGCAACAAGAAGACGAACCAATGCACCCAGAAGAAGAAGATGACATCAACCGGGCCATCACCATGTCCCTACAAAACCAACACGGCGAAGCTGCTGAAAAGTCCGAGGAGGATGAGCAGTTTGAAGATGTGGAGTTGGAGGCACCCGACTGGAAGCAAAAGGCCGTGGAGGCACCCAAGCCGATTGCCGCGAGGAGCGGTCGCATGGTTGCCCACATTGTCAACAACAGGTCCAATGCCGCTGTGCCGAAGAAACGCGCCAACAGCGTCAGCAGCAGCGATGGAGAGATGGACCTGCAAGCGGCTCTAAAAGCCTCTCGGCAGAAGAAACGAGTATTGCCAAAGCCTGCTGTGCCCAACGTCAAGAACCCTTTCGATGGTCCACTACCATTCCCTAAGCTCGCCTGGGGTCCTTCTCTCTTCTCTATGAAGGCTCAGTCAAAGAAGCCCGAAGTAGTAGCTCCAAAGCAGCCGCCGGCGCAAAGTTTACAGGAACCGGCACGCAAAGATGACGATGCCGAATTTGGTGGCGGATTCCTAGCTGAAGGCGTTGAAGAGCAGCCTTCTGGCGATGAAGACGATGAAGGCGGCTTTGAAAGAGGACTAGAAGAAGACCGTCCCAAGCCTTTACCTCCCTGGATGGTGGACAATACCGATATTCGAGAATCGATCAAGCAACAGCGGCAAGTGGAGAGCGAGATCAACACGGAAGATAGAGAGGCTGCGCAGGAGGAGGAGCGAAGGTTTGAGCGCCAACGGCAAAACCAACTCATCGAGATTCAGTCTTCTGACGATGAAGACGACGACGTTGAGATTCTTGACGCGCCTCCTCCTCCTAAGCATGCTGCTTCCCAGGAAGAAATAACTTTCCTCGACGAACCCAGCGCCATCGATGCCGCCACAAACTCTGAGGTCGAGCCCGAGAAGGGAGATGAAGCGACGGCTGCAGTGTCAGAAAAGGCAGACGCAACGTCACGCAAGTCATCGCAGTCTCCTCAAGTAGAATTTGAAGATGTTCAGCCTGAAGAAGTCGACGAAGATATGGAGGTCACTGTCACAGCAGCCCCTGACTCCCCGGAGCCAGACATGGAAGATGTCGCCGATCCACAACGTCCGGATTCCCCTCCGGACCCAATAATGGAAGATGTCACTGTCAACGCAGATGAGCCGAAGCCTGCTGCTGAAGAAGAAGAACACGAGCTTACGTTTGAGGAGCTTATGGACGGCCCCACGCTCGACGACCCCAACACGGCCGGCGACGCGATGCAAGACGCCGAAGCCGCCGTCTTTGCCGATAGCGACGATGAGTTCAGTGATCCGGAAGACGAGGAGCTCTTTGCCAACCTGGCGCAAGAAGCTGAGGAGCACGCCCGCTTCGCCAGCGAGCTCAACAACAAGTCGGAGCAAGAGAACAAGGAAGCGTACGAAAAGGAACTTAAGGCGCTGCGCACGCAGCAGAAGAAGGACCGTCGCGACGCCGACGAGGTCACGCAGGTCATGGTCACCGAGTGCCAGGCTCTTCTTCGCCTGTTTGGTATCCCCTACATCACCGCGCCGATGGAAGCGGAAGCGCAGTGTGCGGAGCTGGTGCGTCTGGGCCTGGTGGACGGCATCGTCACGGACGACTCGGATTGCTTCCTGTTTGGCGGCACGCGCATCTACAAGAACATGTTCAACAGCAATAAGTTTGTCGAGTGCTACCTCGGCTCGGACCTCGAAAAGGAGCTCTCGCTTTCGCGCGACCAGCTCATCGCCATTGCTCAGCTCCTAGGATCCGATTACACCGAGGGTCTACCCGGCGTCGGTCCCGTCACGGCCGTGGAGATCCTATCCGAGTTCCCCGGCAAGGACGGCCTCGCACAGTTCAAGGACTGGTGGGCGGACGTCCAGCTGAATAACCGGCCCAGGGAGGCGGACGCGGGATCGCCTTTCCGCCGCAAGTTCCGCAAGTCGCAGGGTACGAAGCTGTTCTTGCCGGCGGGGTTCCCCAACCCGGCCGTCACGGACGCCTACGTCCGACCAGAGGTCGACGACAGCCCGGAGCATTTCCAGTGGGGTGTTCCGGACCTCGAGGGTCTGCGGCAGTTTCTGATGGCGACGATTGGGTGGAGCAAGGAGCGCACTGACGAGGTGCTGGTGCCCGTTATCCGGGACATGAATAAGCGCGACATTGAGGGCACGCAGACGAATATCACGCGGTACTTTGAGGGTGCTGTCGGTGTGGGCGCGAGGGATGCGTTTGCGCCCAGGCAAAAGGGCACGACGAGCAAGAGGATGGCTAATGCTGTGAGTCGGTTGAGGGCCAATGCCAACGGGGAGCAGCCGGGTGATGCGGAACAGGATGGCGATGCTGCTGCTTCTGCTGCTGCTGCTGCGGCGCCGACTAGAGCTACGGGGAAGAGGAAGGCTAGGGCTAGGACGGCGGCTGCTGAGGACGAGGATGAGTTTGTCGATGATGAGGGCGAGGAGCAGAGCGGGCAGGGTGCTCGAAGTGGTAGAGCCAGGCGCGTGAAGAAGGCCAAGGAATCTACGTAGCCATTCTGCTGAAATCAGACCACAAAACCTGACTTATATTCACTTTGTGGTTTGAACGTGACCCCGAGAGCATCTCTTTCTTGGAGCATTTTCTCAATGTGTTTGTGATTTCAAGTACCAAGTGTGATGGCCAGCAAGTAGAGGCAATGAGACCGTATGTATGCGTGCAGAATTTCACAACAAGTCCCAGAGCCAACGGTCTCGAGTAAAAAACCACGAGCGGGCTCCCAAAACCCACCCCTCACGATATCAAAACTCCGCTGTGGCGATGGGTGGTGCTTGAAATCGCGCAATAAAGCACAAATTCTCTCAGATTTAAGACCCAAGTGGTGCAATTTTCAGACCTGCATGTGAGTGAGTCACAAGTACCAAGCGGCACTTGCCCGAGGGAAGAAAGATGCGTTGACAACTTGGTCCAATGAAGCCCTAGATGACCAGGTTTGCCATTGGATCGAAATACTTCTCTCTCTCGAGTCTCCGCGGGATGTATCAGCAGGGTCTGCTGAGTACTCAGCGCCGAACTTGCTCAGGGCTGAATGGGATTCCATCGCCAAATCCGCTTTTCGAGACATGATTTTCAGGTACGACGTGGTAGTTTAACCTCGTTCTTAGTCTGGCACGTGCCGAGACTACAGCAGATCTGGGGTGGGAGGCCATAAGTGGGATGAACTTAGTTCTCCGAATACCAATCGGACGGAAGGGATAGACAAAGTGGTTTTCTTTACGTTTCCACGTGGCGGGGTACGGTTGAGACGTTCGGGAGGCGAAGATCTCTCGAGGCAACGAA